TGAGTGGGTAAACCACTAACATTTTCTGTTTACTAATGTGGCCTCATCCCTCCTAGTCAGCACTGTACCCTGTGTTTCTCCTCACTTTATTAACCTCATCTCTCTCTAGCATCCTCATACTATAGCTCAGATTTTCCTTGCATTCCCCACAGAGCAATCTTCACCTTACATCTTCTATTATACCTTTAAGAGCACCTGAAATATTCACTGCCAACCCTCCACCATCTCCTTGCAATGACCCTGCCTGCATTTCCCACTGGGTAGCAGACACACATTACGGCTTCTCTGCTGACTGCTCAGCCGGTGTGGTTGGGACACTGGGCAACTGGGGAGTCAGTTTGTCCTGAGTGACCAGTCTGCCTGCCCTGCAGCTATGCAGACAGAAATTGCTGCCTCCAGACTGCAGCAATTGCAGCTGTGGCCCAGATGCAGCACATTGCATGGACCTGTCCTAGAACAATGACAAAAGTATTCCCACTGTGCTAGAGTTTCTCTCATAAATGCTCCCTCATAAAATAAGCCAACAAGAAACTGTGGGGGGAAAGAGCAATAAAAGAGAATCTTATCATAATTATCTGGAAATGTACTACCCACGCACAGAGGCCTCTCCATCACCCCAAGCAAAAGAACCCATACGAACAGCAAAGGGTGAAATGAGTGACTAGCTCTGCACAAGTTGTTTAGTTTCAGAAGAAAACTGTTGCTGTAGAGATTTTTCAAGTCCAAATGTTCCTGGGGAAGGTAGTTCCAGTAATTCTGGGAAGGAAGCCAATCCCTTGGCTTTATATGTAAATATTTAAACAACATTATTTTTATATACATATATACATATATTTTATACACATATACATATATGTCTTTAGACTTCCAGACTTGCAAAACTGCAACGGAAAAAATATGCCAGTCGATGTACGGCTATCAGCTCACCTGCCTGAACCATGATAACTGACCATCAGAAACAAAATACAACAATGACTTCAAAATAATTGAGGCATATCATCTATGTATACTAATCCACCCAAACAGAAGAGCTGAAAGAGCGGGACTACAGATTCTAAAGTAGAGAGATTAAAGTCTTAAATTTTATCTCCTTAGAAGTGGCAAGAACATAAGGTTCATCAATTTTAAATCTTTCAGAGCCTAGACGGATGCCGAGTGCTCCATCCACAGGTGTGGAATCTCCAGCTTTGGACGACACAAAGCTTCGCATTCCTAGCATCTTAGTGCTCCGACACCTGATAGTAAAGCTGTGACTTCACCGTGTTTAGAAAGGTCACTGCTGCTTCAGGCTTAAATCAGGTACATACCTCAAAAGGGATTACTTGGTAGAAAATGCAAGCAAAAGAATGGAAACATATCTGGCACTGAGATTTAGTGAATAAATAAGATAGGAAGAAAAAAAAAAGCTTTAAAATTGTTGAGGAGGGGGTCGATAAAATGGAGGAAGATGATTTAGTGAGCAGAAGGTATCTAGTCAGAGCGTATGATGAATAAATCAATCCATGAAAATAAAATTTACCACATGGATTCCCACTGTATATACTCAGTAAGCAAAAAACACACCCTAATACAAGGTACGTGTGTGTAAATTCATAGCTATATGATTTAAAGAAATCAAATATTTATGAATACAATATTTACATGTCTGTTCAAGTATGTATATATAGCACAGCCACTGTGAGTTTTAAGAAAAAATCACATAAGTGTACGTACATATACATAAAAAAACGTGCAGAAAAAAGGACCAAGAGTAGGGCAAGTCTTTTAGAAAATATTTTAATGGCTTTATAAAAAGCCCTCACTCAAAGTTTGAGGGGGTTTTGCAATCTTACATTTTTCTATTGCAAAATACACCTGCTTTCTTTTATTTCTTCCCCCCCCAAACTAAATATTTCTTCCATCTAATGACTCTCTTTATTAGACAGCATCTAATTTGCATACATTTACATACAATTTAACTGCTAGCTTGTGAGAACAAAGAAATGGCTCTGTATTGTACTGAAGGACAATACTCAGAAAAGGAAGGTATAAAAACCAGCTAGCTCGGTGGCTGTGTATTCTCTTTGTTTCAAAAATACCAGGATTTTTAAACACACCACTTAAAGGGTGAAAAAGATTATTTCATCAAACAATGAAAAAAGATACAGTGCAGCTCCCTTTTAACACATTCTCTCTCTGGCCTGGTTAATGGGATTTAAGGGTCCAAGATTTCTTTGCTTTCTTCTGTTTCCTTTATTAGAACTGATGGATTTAATTCTGTCACATATTTTACTTCATATTTTATTCCTATAACAATCTATGCTGAAGTTCAGCTCCAATGCTAATTCAATACTATCTTCTTTTCCTTGCAGTCAGCCTGGAATACAACTGAATGATCTTTGACGGGCATGAAGTACTCTGCCCTCAATGCCCAGCTAATGGATTTTAGAGAGAGTCTGCCAGAATTTTACTTTGTGGCAACAAGTCCAGAGATAATGAAAACTTACCATGTAGCTGACTGGGAATCAACAGGAAGGGAAGCAGGGCTGAGCTCCGCTTGTGAGAACAGGGAGGGACCGTGGTCAGAGTAAACGCAGGATGTAAAGGATGTGTCAAGCCCTCTAGTTCCCTAAAAGAAGAAAAGAAAATGATCTTTAAGATCTCACATGAAGCAAAAACCTTTAGAAACAGTTGGCAAAAACTCCAACGCAGGCCCTACCAAAAGCATGATACAGCAGCAAAGGGGTTTTCTCCAAAGGCTTTGCAGTGGGACTACCAATTTCAGAGGACAGCTGCGAATCTAATCCATGTGGACTTGACATAAAAATCTTGCAGGAAAAAAAACATGATTTCAGGCTGCATGCTGCACACCTCCATGTCCCCTCAAACGTGTGAAACCCAGCGAAGCAGAACGGTCTGCCATTTGCTACTGCCTGCATAGTGTTGCTGCTAGCTTCACTTCCAAACTCTCCCACTCCCAGCATCATACTTAATGACTTATGCTCAGTGGGGCAGACCAAGTAATGCCTAATTTTGAAAAAGTAAAGTACCAATATTCAGTGGCTCAGGAATGGGGGAAAGAAGGCCCAAGCACTCTGGCAGCATGTTATAAGGGCCTGTCCGACAGAAACACGTGAAACCTTTTCTAGTGTAAGCAGACCTATTGCAACCTAATAGAATGGGACTATACATAGCAAAAATCATTAGGCCAAGTCAGCTGTACAAAGCAGGTATAGTATTTAGGATCCAGCAGTCACCTGCTCCATTCAGTTTGCCCTAGCCAGCCACATGGCATGTGGTACACTGGCTTCATACGATCAGCAAAAGGCCAAGGGTTAATTTGATGGGCATTCACACACCAGCATGTATGGCACAGTAACACTGGGACAGAAGATACAGGAGCCACATCACAAGCTGTACACGGAAGAAAATTGTGCTGATACTGCCCTGACATGCCTCACTGGCACTCAAAATACATTATAGATTATTTTCAGACACAAATTTTAATTTAAAGCTGGCTGAAATGTTAATGAAGTTTTGGCTCTTTTTCAAAGGGGAAAATTCCCTACTGCTTACAAAAATCTTTTTCCCCCCACCTGATTTGCTTCTAATGACATATAGCAACCAAACCTCATAAAAGAAATTAAGTAAGCCTTCATATAATTTTTCCTTTTCAACGATGAAAGGTTGAGGTGTGTGATCTTCAGAGTTTCTGACGCATACCAAAACGCAGGTTTTAGCAAACAGTGGAAAAAGTAAATTCCAAAGCCAAAGTTCCTTTAACTATCACATTCTATGCTCACAGCTCTGTCTTGCTGAAACTATGGGTTATTATTTTCAGAACCTTAAGAGCGTGGCTGCACTATGATGTAAGCTGATTTTAATTGGAACTGCCACAGTCCCACCCTTCCCTCACCTCTTTTCTCTCCTGGCCACATGTCCCTGAGCCCATCCTTGAGCCAGGACTGGATAACTGGTTTCATTCAGCTGAATGAAAAACCTCTTTTCCATATGTTTTCAGCCAAATCAACCCCCAGTCGCAGCTCAACATCGAGGCATGAAACTCGGAGGTTAGAGCTAAGGAGGCAGAACTGTACAAATGAAGGGACAGCAACAAAGCGGCCTCAACGTCGATCACTTTAAGCTGCTGCGGACCTACATCTTGAGATGTCTAGGCCTGCTTTGGTATATGACATGGAAGAAAGGCTCCTATCACATAGCTGGAAGCCAAACTAATCATGGTGTTGTGGTTTAACCTGGCAGGCAGCTAAACACCACACAGCTGTTCACTCACTCCTCCCCAGTGGGATGGGGGAAAGAATTGGAGGGCGGGCGGGGGGAAGGTAAAACTTGTGGGTTGAGATAAAGACAATTTAACAGGACAGAAAAGAAAGGGAAAATAATAATAATGATAAAAGAATATTCAAAACAAGTGATGCACAATGCAATTGCTCACGACCCGCTGACCGATGCCCAGCCAGTTCCCGCGCAGCGGACCCCCCAGCCAGCTTTTCCCCTAGTTTATATACTGAGCATGACATCATATGGTGTGGAATATCCCTCTGGTCAGTTGGGGTCACCTGTCCCAGCTGTGTCCCCTCCCAAATTCTTGTGCACCTCCAGCCTACTCACTGGTGGGGTGGTGTGAGAAGCAGAAGAGGCCTTGACTGTGTGTAAGCACTGCCCAGCAACAACAAAAAAATACC